GCACAGGCAGAATCGAAGTGCATAATAGCGTTTGCTTTGAGAGGACTTCAGCCGCCGAGATCGAAAATTCAATCATTCTCCGGCCAGTCTATACAGGCGCGGCAGGCGCACACGGGACGCTCCTCCGCCCCGTCTGCGAAAAGTGTATGAATGACGCCTCAATATACACAGCGCAAGATTGAAGGGCTATGCGACGGCTTGTCACACGGGAGAACACGTCGTCATCTATAGGGCCTCGACATGCCTGCCGGCGCCAGCAGGTCTGGATCCGGGGGCGACTCTACTCGGTGGTCGAACTGCTGACCGGTCGGTCCTGCTCCGCCGTCGAGGCGAGACAATGGACGTCAACGTATTTTGACCTCGCCCCATGATGGCCATGCAAGCGAAGTAGTCAAACGAACGCGTGCAGGCGCAGGCGCCTCAGCATGCAAGCACTATGCAAGCGGCACGTAGTCGATCCGAGCGGCGGTCGAAAAAAAAAAATCTGGGGAAAAATGCGGGGAAGTGCTGAAGTGCCCAAAGGCTTGTGTGCTTCACCTACCCGCGGCTCTACTGCCCCGACGACGCTCTCCTTTGCTCGACCGCGTTAATTCTGACTGCTGCCGCGAAAGCTGCCTTCAGCCGCGCGTGTCTCAACCCTTTGGCATCAAGTGCGTCATCAAATTGACATGCGCAGTCACTGCGCCTCATCAGTCTCACAACCGCCACATGCGGAGAAGAAGCAGCGCGCCGGCCGCGCATCTGCGCGTACAGTACTGTACGCAAAGCCGTTGGCAGCCCCAGACTTTCTTTGCAGTTGAGCCTTGGCATGCTCAGCTGCATGGGGCCCCGGCATGACCGTTCAAGTTGGTCGAACGCAGAAGGCGGAAAAGTGAATACAATTTACGAAGTCAAAGAATAATCACGAATGCAGCGACGATCAAAACAATTTGCAAACGGCCGCTGCAACCGCGTGGTCGCTCGTTGCGACTTTTCTGCTGCTCTTGCCGCACGGATCGCGGTGAGCATGACCGAAACGTCTCGAAGGAGGCCTTACCAGTCACACAAGGTGTTTCTTTGCTCCACTTTGACCGAAACCTACTGGCCTCTACGCTGACGTCTGGAATAGCGCCAATGCGTGATTTTGATTGAAGAACGATCGGCACCACTCCCATATCTAGTCAGGTTTACGGTAGGAAGAGTAGACGCAACGTTTACAACAGAGTAGTCACGAGCCTGCCTGCATCGAGCGTGCTGGGTGGGCAAAGTCGAGCGCATGCGCGCTCTGTCGAAGAGTCTCTCTGCGCCCGTGCTGCCCTTTGCGCGGACTGACTCAGACTACTGTCGCTCGGTCCAGCTGCGCAATTGCAACCCTCACAAGACTCACCTGGCCAGTCGAGTTGATGATCCTCTTCTTCAGACCTTCTGGCTCGCGCCTGCATTCACGATTCGCACTTTTGATTGGGCGGTACGAAATTCCGAAGTGATCATCGACATGGCTGCACGCTCAGACCTCGCCGATCAGCATGCATGCGACCGAGTCGATGCTGAATGGGGCGCTGTCTCGCTGGTGACTCGCAACTCGCCCACGATGACTCTTTCGGTGAAACTTCGCTATTCCGAGGAGACGTCGCTGCTGCATCGAGCGACACTCCCGTCATAGTTGTTTAAGCAAGTTGTGAGTTCGACCCAGGGGTAATTGGTGCATTGGCCGCGGAGATGTCCACAGCCGCTGCCGGACAATCTCGTGCAGGACTTGGCCGGCACGATGTGCATACTCTTGACTCACTGTTACGCGAAAGTCGACGTCCCTGCGCGCTGCTAGTCCTCTCGGAACGACACCAGTGTTGCACCACTGACTGCAGTCACGGGCAGGGCGCTAGGATAGAGCTCGAGTGGAGAGAGTGTGGACCGACAACTGGGGCTATTTCGTACAATCAAACCGAGCTCGACAAGAGGTGCACAGATCTGACTGCCAAGCCTTGCGGATCAAAGGCCCTGCTCTGCGGTCGCTCTCAGTACTCATCGGCTTGCATATCCCCGTTGAGAAAGCCGCCGGCGAGCTACTGCACCGCGACTGCAAGTCCCGTCAAGAGACAATCGGATCCATTCATGCCGTCAGTGTGCACATGTACGTAGCGACGTTAAACGAATCCAATCCATCCATCATGGGTATCAATTGCATCAGACCACGCATTAAGCGTCTTGCGTTGCGTGATGCATGATGCTGGTGGTTGCGGCGAGTCGTCCTTATCGTCTCGTACTCTGTCCCCTTTACCTTTGAGACATGCGCCGGTAGTATCGACGACGATGATTGACTCCGCTTGGGTTCAGGGCTTCTACTTGATTCATGCCTCCACCTCATCATCCCAAGCCGCCACGTACGAATTAATCGTGCTTCGGCGGTAGTACTCCCTTGAGGATGATGACTTCTCCGTGCATTCGCCACAACGCGTGTTCCAGGCTGTTCGCGACGCTTGACGAAGCTCTGTACTTGACTCAGTGGAGCCTGTTTCCTAGCCTCGGTGCCGTTTGATGCCAACGAAAGATTTCTTCTCTAGCGAAGCCCCCATTAAGTGCGAGTCGGACAGACGGACGGACCAACTTTGTCTCGCTCGCGCTAAAGTCTGGGGTGCATCGAGTAGCGCGACGTTCGTGGTTGCATGACGTTGCGAGGATTCTGTACAGTCACAGTACCCCATCGGTAGCTGTATGTATAGCTTTGACAAATCAAGTCAACCACGAGTCGCCACGAGTCGCCCACTGCTGTCAAGGGCTTGAGGCGATAGCGTGAGCTGACTCGAGGGCCGCGATTTGCAAGTCATGGGGTGCATCTACAGTCTGCGACATTCACGCTCATTCAAGAATCAGAGTCACATCGGATCAAACTTCGAACCCCTCATTCATAGACTGCGTAATCTTTGAGTGATAAATCTTGTGATCGAGCAACCTGTCCTTCGCCTAGCTTGCAGGTCAGAGCCTGCCATCGTGCCGTCACGGACAAGTCTTGCCTGATCGTCAGACGATGTGGTCGAGGGATGCGCGTCAACTAATTTCAAAGGTACAGCAACTCGATTTGCCTTCGAGAGTACCGGGAGATAATTCGGCTACATCATACAGTGTCAGTGGCGCGAGATTACTACTGGGGGCTCAGTTGACATTGGAAGGCAATAGGATGGGTTACGTACGGGCCATCACTGCACACATCATCTAGTGTCTACGAACCTAATCAATTGGACTTTCAAGCGTGAAGCTGTGTTGTATGGGCAGTAGTAGTTTCAGTACGAGAACAAGGAGATAGGTAGAGCAAGTCTCGCGTCATGTGACCTGTAACCCCTTGCGTAGACATGAAAACCACAAATGGCAAGATTGAGGGCGTGCCGAAGATCACCTTTTCAGGACAGTGTCGACTTAAAGCATGTATCGGGGCCCCAGGCACGCTGCCATCTGGCTCACAGCACCGCTACTGGCCACATCGCCATGCGCCTTCTCAAGTTGAGCTGATTCACTGTCGCCGAGTTGCCTGTTCTTCTACGCTGCTCTTGCCCTGCGCCGATCTGGCAGTGAACAGCAAGAAGCACTCAACGGTGCACTCTGCGCGTCAAGGTCAGAGTTCACCATGGCAGTCCGTTTATGGCCCATCCCTAGCCATCAAATTCCTCTTCGAAATCCACGACTTTACGAGGCCTGGGTCAACACGGTGTATTGGCGATGAATGATCACTTGCCGACGGAGCCAGAAGGGTAGGGGAAAGAGCACACTGCAGACGACCTTGAAAGAAAGAAGGGTTGCGCGCGCGCGGCCCCCGGCTCTTTGCGAAACCATGCTGGTACGCCGAAGAAACTTCCGATTGCACAGGTATTTGTCTGGCTGGATAGAGCAGCACGGTGGTCGAGCACCGGGCTTGCAGCGGGACTGGAACGGATCTCTTGACACAGATGAAGGTCGAAAATTACAAAGTCATCTGCGCAAGTTGATACGCACATACCACATTCGCGCGCGCGCTCTCTCCCTTGCCTTTGGTGGAGCAGTCCCCACGACATGACCCAATGGTGAGCTACGCGATAAGGGTGCACTCGTAGAAGGATGACTGGTCGCTTGCCGTCGTGCAAGGTGTATTTCATGTACAATTCTTGACTCTGACAGTACTCTCTTTCTCCGCGAGAGTGGAGCCACGAGCCTTTGAGGAGATGTTCATCAAATTCCGCCAACATTTGCCGGACAGCTTCTTCATGTGCCAAGCTCAAGTCACAGTCTCATGTCTCAGCTTTGCGTGCGTGGTGTTTGTTTGGGAACGTTCTGCGGCAAGCTGCTGCTGATTGCTCTCGATGGCAGATGCGAGGATTGCTCAGCGGGAGCATGCAAGCGGTCTGCATCGCTGACGCGACTGCATGGCTACCTGCGTCCTGTACAATCACTCACGCCTCCACAAGTTCCACTTTGACTGAGGGGCCCATACTCTTTTGTTTGTACGCAAGATGAATCAGAAGCGTTCAATCCCCTTGGTCGCGAGTCTTGGTCCTTGTAGGCGGCCCTCGCTCCTTGGCATGAGTACCGAAATCCAAGCGTTTCACCAGCAGAGGAAAGCGCATCACCAGCAGAAGAAGAGTCTGCCTCTGCCTTGATTTCTTGATCAGCTCTGACTGCCGGATCCTGCTCCACTAGCGTGCTCCGAAAGTTGACCCCTCTGCGGCGCTGCAGAAGAGACGCACGTCAATTCGATTTCTGCACAAGGTGTTGCAGATCGCATAGTTGGGATGCGATACCGACACTCACACTCGTGACTTTTCACTGTGACCACGGGCGCACACTCGTGACTGTATGTGCAAGGCTCATGCAGTCACCGCTATCTTGACCCCGAATCAGCGTGCTTTTGCACGCCCTCAAGTCTCATCAGTAAAACGCAACCCGTCCGGCAGAGCACGAGCTGCGCTGCTGCTGCTACTCTGTACCTACCGCTCACAAAGCCTCAAGGTGCGGTGAGGGCTTGGGCTCTTTCGGTGTCGCGCAGGTTGACCGCCAGAAGCGCTAGACAAAGCGTCGGGCATACCTTGGACTGCAGCACAACCGCCCTTCCAGTTTGTCCGCTAGGTCCGGCACCAATTGCCCAGATTGCAGCCTGGGCTCGGGCCACAATTTCGACAACTTGTACATGTGTGCCGTTGCTGCCTTGAACGAATATCTGCGAGGAGCCATGATGTCCAATTGCCGGTCTTGCATTTCATTGGCGGAAGTAAAAGCTACAAATCGTTCGGGAGAGCCTCGCCAAACCGCATTGTGAGCGGCGAGATTGTGGGTCAGTGGCAAGCGGGAGCACCCACCCGTTCGCTTTTTTGTTCCGACCCCATGAGGCCCTGCGAGATCAAAGCGCGGAAGTGAAGGAGGAGCGTGTTGGAGAGAGTGCACTAAGGGGCCGCACCTTGCAGCACGCCTCCGAAGACCTCATGGTCACAATGACGAGAATGTGCACATCCTCTCGCTCACTGAAAAGGTACAACACGGCACCACCACCTTGCCCTACACACTACTCCGGATACCCTGACAAATCCCCACCACCCGTCCCTCCCTTTGCTCATCGAAGCGCGAATGGAAGAGCGCCCCTCTCCACTCCTTCCTCACTCTCTCGCTGTGTCATTGCATCACCTCCCGTCTAGCCATGAGGTTGAAGACCGTATCCAGTGTGACCTTCGCGCTGACCTGCCTCTTTGGCGCATCGAGCGCTCTGCCCGCGGACCCGACTCTTGACGTTCGAGCTGCGCCCCAAGCTGGCCTTCCACAGGATGTTCCAGACACGAAGACGGCATTCGACGAGGTATCCGATCCCATCCCCTTCGACAAGCAGAAGCTGTTTTCCACCGAGCCGCCTCGACCGATCGGTCAAGCTCTAAGACAACGTCTGACGTTCGGTGCCAATTTGGCCGCTACTGTCTACTGTGCCCGCGTCCAAAACCAGCGAGAATTCAACTGCGGAGCGCCTTGCGAGCAGAGCGACCCAGATGGGCAGGTCTTGTTCGTACAGGGCGATGGTTACAGCGATCCGCACCAGAGCGTGAATTGGCTACCTAATGAGAAGGCCGTCTCAGTAGTCGTGCAGGGTGCCAACCTGGAGGTGAGTCGAGTAGAGGGGTATGATGTGGCAGCGATGGTTGACGGGGGTCTGTTCCCTCTGCCTCTTTAGGATCTCCGTGGACTGTTCAATGTGCTGGCATTCGTCCCGCTGCCTCCGGCAAACCCCATCAGAAACACGCTGTACACGTTCGGAAGCAACGCAACAGATCCGATCGCCTCCATCATCTCGATCTTGCAAAATGACATTTCGACGGTGCACGGCGGATTCCTGGCCACCTGGGCGCGGTCCTATGACAAGACCTTAGCAGCGACCAAGACTGCGCTGGGAGCACACCCCGAGGCAACCAAGATCATCGTCGCCGGCCACTCGTTGGGAAGCGCAATCGGGCTGCTGACCCTGCTCGCCTTTTTAAGCGACATCGGTACCGATCTGCCCTACGAGTATCTCGGCTACGGCTCTCCGCGTGTCTTCAGTCCTCTGGGAGCCGACTTGGTCAACAATGTGGTGTCCAACCCATCGGCTAGAACCACTTATCACCACGTTCACCATAATAATGACCCTGTGCCCCACTTGGGACCGATTGCGCTGAACTTCCTTCACGCTCAAAACGAAGTCTTCCTCCCAGACACGGACAGCCCCACCGCTCTGTTCTGCCCAGGCGTCGAGAATATCAATTGCAGCCTTGGCCGTACCAACTTCACCGTCAATGACCACGCCGGTCCATACTTTGGTCGAATGTGAGTGGTTTGCTCGTCGCACATTAGTCACCTGACTAACAGCTGCTCGCCTTCTCCCGCACTCAGTATCGGCAGAGACGGCGTGGACTGCGCTGGAGGTGGTGGCGTCTAAATCGCCTGTCAATAGTCCTCATTCACTCCGGAATCTCCCTTGACCCTCCCCACGCGAAACGCAGGTCTGTTGCATTGCATACTGGAACTGTACCATCTTTGCACTCTCATGATGAGATGAATTTCATGTTATCGGTGATTTGTTGGCCATCTCAGGCAATTGCCGGCCGGGCTCGAGTGTCTGCCCACAGCGCACCGAACCTGCTGGCCAAAGAACCGTTGTCGATATAGCGATCGCTCGTGGACAAGCGGGGTGAACCAGCACTCGCGACGGACAGAGTGGTCGTAATTTGAATCCCACGCTCGAGAGGCGTGAATGCACGATCGAGTCAGGAGGTTCAGCTCAACAAATTAGGCGTCACCCGTTCGTTGAATTAATCGAACCGCGCCACGTGGCCTGTAGGTCAACATCAATACGCGCGCGCCGACCTGCTCTGCTTGCGCGCTTCCGCGCGGTTGCTGGTGACGCGCAAAGGCGCGACGCGTCTCCCTCCCACCCGATTGCGCGGGAAGTCAACACCATCACGCCGTCATCGCATTGCGGGTGGAGTCCGAGTCCGAGTCAAGAGTGTCCAAACTCATCAACTGCGCATCTAGAATTCGCCATCACACAGATTCGAGTTGTAGTCGGTATCAAGCTGCTTTCACTATCAGACCATTCGAAGCTCGGACAGGTACATACACAAGTGAGCAAGCGGGACACCACATTGAGCTAGCGAGGGAATGTCAACCACGGCAAACAGCTCCACTCGGGGCGCTGACAAGTCGCCTTCAAAGCCCGTGGCAAAGTCAAGGCAAAGCCTGGCGCCTCCCGGAGCTCGACGTAGTGTAGCTCCAAGAAGCAGCGCAGCTCCGACCAAACCGTCTTCGGCTGCGCCAGCTGCAGCTGCAAGGACGGCTCGAACAGCAGCAGGAAATCGGACCGCAAATGTAGCCTCCACCTCGGTCGATGCTTCCAGCGGCCAGTACGACAGCCCAGGCATCGATGCTCGATTTGCCGATCGTCTGGCGGAGCTCAGCGTGGGTGATGATAGCGCTCTCATGGACTTCGGAGGTGAAACAGACGCTTCGCCTCTCGTCTCCCTGTCAAGTCGGAGCGGAGCGGCTGGACCACGCGCTTCGTTTGGCAAAAGAGGACCGAGACCTTCATGGGGTCCAAAGGCTTTCTCGCACAAAGATGCGGCGTTTGCCCCCGCGCCTGTACACTCTAAACAGAACATGCGATTCTTGGAGGGAATAGGCGCAGACTCGTCTGCTGCAGAGGAGAGCCAAGTAGGAGGAAGCAAAGCACCCATCTCTGGAACGTCTGGACGAGCGCGGGCTAGACAGTCTCTCTTTCAAAAATCCTCCCTCTTCTCTTCGGATGGTGCGGCTACATCGACAAGTGGGGCAGCGGCAGATGCAGACGAGTCCTTCGACTTTCAAGGAACGCAAGCCGAGCTTGGTCTGGGCCAGGGCGACCATGGTCGCGGCGACGGACGCGCGAGCGGGCAGGCCAAATTCACACCTCGTGCGACCACCGCGTCGGGCTTGCCGGCGAACGACGAACCAACTCAACCTGGCAAGGCCGAGACACAGGAACAGCGCCGAGCTCAATTGGACGAGTTGAGGCGGATGAACGAAGTGTTTGAAGGGTACGAGAAGATGCTTCGTGGGACGACGGATCAAGTCGACGTGAGTCTCGTGGGCTGTTCGTGAACGCTCTGCGAGCGCCGAGCGATCAGCAGACCTAATATACTGCCGTTTGTGCTTTCCTCAGGACTTTTCACAACGCATCGCAGAGACCGATGCTCTTTTGGATATGTATATTGATCTACTCAGACAAGCTGACCGCACACAGCGCCTCTTGTTGGATGGCGACTGGAAAGGTGCGACGGAAGTGAGTGCTCTCGACGCAGACCAAGGCTTGGCATATGCCTCGCTTGTCGGCACGAGGTCACGCGCTGACACCCTAGCCGCCGCGTCGTGATAGGATGCGGCAGCTCACGCGCTGTCTCTGGAACTCGCTGAACGAGAGACGGCTCGACTTCGAGCGGCCGCACAGGCCGAAGCAGCAGCGCGATCAGCAGCTGTCGAGAGAGCGCAAGCCGAGGCCAGAGCGAGGAGTGCTCCTGCTGGTACCGGGACTGGACGAGGAGGCGCTGCAGGTGGACGAGGTGCGGTTCGAGGCGCGACAGCGGCTGCGAGAGGTGCAAGAGGAGCTGCCACAGGTGTTAGAGGTCGCGGCGCATCGACGGGGACCAGAGGAGCTTCAGCTGCGAGTGCTACGTCTACCGCCGCTCGAGGACGTGGCGCTGGTGAGTTTGCTCGCATAATCGTTGTTCTAGCTGCGCACTGGTATGCTGACCCGAGACTTTGCACGCACGCGTGTGTCTAGCTGGGCCTCCTGCCACGATTACCAGAGCTTCAGGCATCGCGCGAGCTAGACCCACATCGACGGGCGTACCATCGAGAGGCACGGCCAGCGGCAGGGGTACAGCTCGCAGCTCAGGCTATGGACAATGAGTTCTGCGCTTGCTTTTACGAATTACAACATCTTCTCTCCCTCGCCTCTTCTTTGCAATGCCCACCAATCGTTCTCGAGTGTCAAGGATCACCAAGAACCCTGCTTCTCGTGCTCGTCGTGAAAGTTGCACATACCCATGAATTTGCTTTCTTTGGCCAGCCCTGTCACTGCTTGAAGCTAGAATGATGTGGCTGCTAGTCATCTTGCCTTTGATCTTCAATTCCACATTCGTCACTGATTTGCAGGCAAGAAGGACTGCGAGGGGTTCGTGCGGGACTCCATGCGTCATGGATGGCGAAAGTGTCCTCTACGCTGCCGCTGGTGGTCCTTGTGCAGTC